GCACTGGCTGCTGAATAGCAGACCAGCTATAGCTTTGGAGCATTCAGAGTAGATTTGAGCCGTTTTCCTCATTTTCAATTTGTTCTTTTCCATTCACTTTTTTTTCCCCAACATCAGTAGTCAGTTTTGGCTGGCTAATTTTATGCTGTTATTGAAAGCCAGTGAATTGTCAACGCTTTGAAAGAGAATGACAAGACACCCACAAATTGCAGTAGTTTATTTACCAGCCATTTTACTTAAACAGTGTGTTCAATGGGAACAGGGCTTAACATTACCGAGCATTTATAAAAGTGGGAGTTTTCTTTGTCACACATATCTTGCTAAATGTGGTCTGAATGGATAGGAATGACTGGGTAGGAAGCTATAATACAACAGTACATCCCAAATGATGCCTTTCTGGCAGCTTGTGTCTGAAACATTACATTAGTAATAGTTGCTTGTGCTTTAAATACCACTTAAATCGCTATGAGACACAAGCCCTTTACCAAGACAAAACCTCACCAGACTCATCGACATCAGCGTCCTCATCCCATTCCTGATAGGCACGACCCTCGTTCTGCCGACTCTTCACCCACTCCTCATCTGGCTCCTGGTCGAGCTCCCCAGGGGGGCCATTATAATAATCACCTACATAACGGAGACAAAAATATTAATTAGTTGTGCACCGCTACACACTTGAGTGGATTAATTCTTCACCCGTACATAAAACTCGATTGTACCTCTGGCCCAGTGCACAGGATAAAGGTGCCTCCACAAAGAGCCGGTCTTAGCTAGCTCTGACCAGGAGCTGCACACTTGGCTGCAGCGACACAGATCTTCAGGGCCTAAATAATGGAACAGCCTCAGCATAATTTCCGTGGGGAGCTGGGAGATGTGGGTGGAGGAATTCCTGTTTTTTTCCAGTTCTGAGGAAGAGTATGGAATAGCTTTGCTCGTAAGTGTTCTCAAATACCAAAATGATGAAGTGTACCTTTTACAAATGTCAACCACTTTCTAAGACAGAGTGTTCTTTCATGAAGCTGGTGACTTTAACAGTTAAAACATTGTCCTGGTAGTACAGAGGTCCGTTATCAAGTATACATTTTTAACATTTTGCAGCAAGATAGACGCAGGTATAAACAAGTTAATCATGCCTAAACTGATCAAATCATAAGAAATGCCTTAATGGACAGTCAAAATGTCTGCTGGACATGAGTTACCACATTGCATTAGATCTAAAAGACAACTGATTGATATGCTTATCTAAACATGTTGTATATTGAACAGTGGGGTTACTTGACCAGTTAGAATGAGCTTAAGTACGAAGCACCAGCTTAAATATATACTCACTCACCATAATCTGTCTTCTCATGATCAGCATATTTGAAGGCTTTCTGGAGCTCCTCCGCCTGGCTCCACAAAGTGAAGCCTTTTAGCACCTCTGCGGCACTGTCCAATTGCTGTTGGTTGCAGTGCTGCGCTATCACTTGTTTCTTGATGTCCTTGAGCTCCTCATAGCTGAAGTACTGCATAAGCATAGGCTGAAACACCTGCAACGAATCTCCTCAGTTTACAAACAGCTTGCAACAGTTTAATTTACCTGGACACGAACAGACACGTTTTTATGATAACTTTCAGTGTATCTTTTTACCTTTTGTTGTTCAACATAAATTAGTCTTAATTGATGTCCCACACAACGGGTAATTAAAATATTATAACAAAAAATATTTTAAAAAAAAAAAAAGAAAGGAAAAGAAATTTGAGCATCTTGTACCTCCTCTTCCTCCTTCATGTGGGGCAGAAAGTCCTGTGTAAAAGCTTCTAGTCTCTCCTTCAGCTGCTGGGCATAGTTAAGCTGCTCATATTCACTCTAAAAACACACAACAATGATTAATTCATGGTCTGTGTCCAAATCACCCTTACTCAATCACTACTCCCTACATTGAGAAGTACATTTTGATTTTGCATCATCATTAATGGCTGTGTTGTGCAATAATTGTTGTACATTAAAGTATTATATTCTATTCAAAAATATTTTAATGTCATTACTACAGGAGTTGATTTACTCAGGGTCATTTCTCAGGGTAAATATCATGAACTGTTTTTTAACACAAATGACAGAAATTCAATATAATTTAAATATTTAGGACAGTATTGTTTTTCCCAGGAGACAGTTTTCCTTGGGACAGAAAGCAGGATTACTCCTGAAAGCAAAAATAGAAAATGTTTTCTGATTTGCAAACTGGCAGCGGAAGTTCGGGTTTACACAATTGCATAATTCTAAAAAGGCCTTTATTTTTGCCTCTTATTTCTTGGGGTGGAGGTTTGCCCATGGCTTGACAGAACAATAACTCTTGTCTCTCGATAAGCAGATCACAAAAATAACCCTCCCTCTGCTCCGAGTAGTTCAACTTAGTAACTTCATGCTTAATAACTTCATTCATCCTTTTTCTTCTTTTAAATGTGAAACTGTAACACTTGAGAACTGTGACAAAAGTGGATATAACAAATGAGTATTATTCCACACTTAAGGGAAGTGTAGTATGATTAACGTGCAGATTTCTCATGGCACAATGGGCCTTTAGGGACTGACTGCCAAAGTGTGTAAGTTAGCTAAAACTAATTCTCATTTATTATAACGCTGGTAATTTTGCTTTGCATGTGAGTAAAACCGCTTTGAAGAGGTGCCGGAAATTACATGTGTACATGAAAAATGACAACCCTTGATGTCTTTGTATGTACTATAATCTTTGCGTTGCTGACATGATACTTATTCTAATGACTGAGTGGTACCCAACAATTGCGCACTGTACTACATGTTTTTACCCTTACCAAAAGCCAATGTTTTTCTGGTTAGCTATTTTTAAAGTTGCATCAAGTGAAATATAGGGTCATAGCACGTCAATAAAATGTGTATTTTCAAATGCCAGTCGATCGTTACCTTAATACTATGAAGCCCTTTCTCAAAGAGGGACAACATCTCTGAAAGTTTGTTGTCAGAGTGGACATTGTACACTGTGCAGCAGCGCTGCTGCAGCAGCCCGATAATGTACTCGTTCTCAATTTGCTCATGCATCTTGAACTCCTTAAATGTGGCGCACAGGGACTGGAGAAATGAGCGGAAATCATTGTTGTTGGAGAAGTTGGTGTTGGACAGCTGTGGAAGAAGAATTATCAAATAAGATCTTTGCGTTATTTCTTACAAAATAAATCATCACATAAGATCCATGTGATCTATTTTAGCGTTTCAGTTAGTAGGATTAAACACAGTAACTGATACGTATATGTAAACATAGTGGCTGTATGCCAGAGTGTCAAATCATCAGTGTTGTAACCGAGCTGGGGTTAGTGAAGCACACCCTTCGTGCATTAGTTGTTGCAGCTAAATGAGCTTACCTGGCTTGTCTTGTTAAGACACTTCTTATTAATATATGCACCACCCTTTGTGAGAACATTAGAAACTCCAATGTGGCCCTTAAAGCACGTTATATAAGCTCTCTTGCAAGTTAGTTAGGCTAGTAAACAGAAAAAGCTTTTAGCTGCGGAGAGGAGTTGCTATAAAAACTTTATTAGGTTCAGTCGGATAGGGTTCCACACTGCTGGAAACGTGAATACTATCACGTAACGCTGACCACAGATCAACCAAAGGGTCTCAGTGTAGTCGTCAGACAGTCATTCGACAGTTCATCTCCTTCGACTGACTCAATTCTTGCTGCTATTAAGCTAGCTAGCTAGGTAGCATGCTAGCAGGCGTTCGCTTCACCTTCAGACACCAACCTCCAAAAAAATGTTCGTAAATCTGCAAAATTAAGGAACGACAGTTAGTTGTACACACCTTTTCGCAGTACCGGCCCACCAGCTGCTTCATTCGCCAGTGTGGGCCAGTAAAAACATCCACCTCGTCCGGAAAAGGAGCCATCTTCACTGGACCTCACTGCGTCATCTGCTCACAGCCTTCGATACAATCAAACAAGGAGGCGTGAGCGAGCCTCCCGCGTCACCGCGGCTTGTAAAGCTAGTAAATGTGTTTAGGAATTTAGTCTAAATAAAAAAAAAATAAAATAAAATAAAACAGAATTTTACACTAAGATATGTATTTTTTGTTGCTAAATCGTTTGCGATATTACATTTTTTTGAAAGACGAATACTTTTGTGAATTTCATTTTGCTGCTTATAAACAGCCAAATTCCTAAATATATAAATACAGTATGCCATACCTATTTAAATATACAGTATACTATTGTATACTACTAGTATACAATATACTTTATATATGACTTTCAGGTTTTTGTCAGGTTTTTATGTGGCAGAGTCCGCATAAAGTACGGAAGACCTAAACCTAAAATAAGACTGAAATAAATTAATCACTAAATAAAGAATGTTACTAAATGCTGTGAAAATAAGATTAAATTGGGGAAATTATTTCATTAAATGTCTGACCCACCATCCAAAGAGAAAGACTACTGCAATTGCTGCTGGAGCACTAAACTAGTGTTTACCAAACAATTAAATTAAGTTCACACTGCAATAACTTATCCACCATGGTGGGTGTTTATGTTTTTCATTACCAAACTGTAATAATTGATTTAAGATATATTTGAAGTCAATACCAATGGAATCAATAAACCTTGAAGCCTATCCATACTGAACACTTCTAACAGTAAAAAAATGGAGAATTTTATAAATATTTTATAAATAAATAAATAGACAATTAGATAATAAATACAGAAGCAGCTTTTATATGATAAATATGATTTATATTAATTTATAATTTGAATCAATGCTGTGGTCTTTCAGTTTGACAGTTACGGTACTCCACACAGGTATTACGAGGATAGTGTGTCACTAAATTTAGCGAAGCTCTGTGGTTTAGATACATAATACGAAAATACTAGATGAAGTAACTAGAAAATAAATACATTTTAACTAAATTAATCGCCAAACGTTACACGTTCTCCATGCTTCTCAGTTGGTTTGCGGTTGCTATGGAAAATGTCCACAGCAACGGTGTCATTGGGGGCGGAGACTGGTAAGCGTCATCCACAATAAGAGATAATGGACAGTCGCGTCCACCAATTAATGTTCGGTCTTGGTACATTTGACCAATGAAAACGTACAAAAAATGTAGCCGTAGTTAGATAGAGAGTGCGAGGACAGTATCAAGTACCCGAACCTCTATGATAAAGGCAGCGAGAAAAGACTAATGGTAAGGCACACAGAAACGTATACGGCTACGCAGTGAGCCGGTGATATTATATCAGCCAGAGTTTTGTACATTCACAAGGTAAATATTTTATGAAACTCCCATCTTCTTCTAGCTTCTAAGTAACGGGAACGCTAGCTGTTTTGCTACCAGCTGTGTTGTGTCTTGCATCTCAGCATCACAGTCCGTCTCATTTTCTGTCTGACAGCGGTCCACAATGGAGCTAACATTACATTTCCAGGACTACGCACAATTGTCATAATTAAGACTACCAAATGTTTGCCTTTTATAAAGCTTCTGTCACGGAACGCCCGATTAAAGCCTAGTTACACCGAGCAATAGCATTAGCATGTTCTTGATGTCTTTGTAGATCCAGCATGTGGAGCCAGTTATTCCAATAACATGGACAAGTACGAAAAGGTGAAGAAAATTGGGGAAGGTTCATTTGGAAAGGCTATCCTGGTCAAATCCAAAGATGATGGACACCAATATGTCATCAAGGAGATTGGCATATCTGGAGTAAGCGTCTGTGCATATTTTTTACACAAGCTTGGCATGTTCTTTTCAGCGTGCGCTTCATCTCGTTACCCTCCTATTCATTACTTTGACAGATGTCCAGCAAAGAGAGGCAGGAATCTCGGAAGGAAGTTGCTGTTCTTGCCAACATGAGTCATCCAAACATCGTCCAGTATAAGGAATCTTTTGAAGGTATTAATGCCATTCAAATAGCTCATCTGTTTATGTGAAGAAAATATTATCAAATTTGCACTGTGTGATAACTACATACTATAAGTTTTTTTATTTTATTTGTATTTTTTTTCCCCAGAGGGTGGCTGCCTGTATATTGTGATGGACTACTGCGAGGGTGGAGACCTATTCAAAAAGATCAACTCTCAGAAAGGGGTACTGTTCTCAGAAGCGCAAGTAAGCCAGCAACTACTCGAGGCAGTCACTGTGCAAACAGTATACAGATATTTGGTTAAACTGATCACAATACGTATGGTTTACTGTAGTCTTCCTTTTTGAGATCCTAGATTGGCTTGTGCAGATCTGCCTAGCGCTCAAGCATGTACACGATCGAAAAATTCTCCACAGAGACATAAAATCACAGGTATTCTTTCATAAATCACAAGATTCCCTTTAAGTGATAAGTTGTTTGTTTGCATGTATTGGATTATTTACATGTGTTCTCATAATGCTTGTGTAGAACATCTTTTTGACAAAAGATGGAACAGTTCAGCTTGGAGACTTTGGAATTGCAAGGGTGCTGAACAGGTATGCACACTGTTGTCTAAATAGCCCTGCAGTTTTTCATTAAGCATAGATTCCAGACTAAAAGTTGAAGAACACTTTGCATTTCTGGTAATAAGACATTCTGTTTTACTACATTTAAAAAATATTATAGTTTATTTTGTTGAAGTTTGTTATTTGTACACTTTTTAACTGTTCTTACACAGAAATATCTTTTGGTTAAAGCAAATATGTCTGATCTTATAATGTATTACGTGTTTTATGTATTTATACATTATATTTTGAGGTTCTTAGGTGCATTTGTTATTGATGTTGATTTTTCTCTTTTTTACAGCTGTTTTTGCTTTGATTTATGTCATTGTTTGTATTTTTGCACATTAGACAGTGCTTATTTGAAATATTGAAGCTTTAATATTAAAATGTGCTATTTTTCTGTTTTTCAGCACTGTAGAACTGGCAAGAACATGCATAGGAACACCATATTACCTGTCACCAGAGATCTGTGAAAATAAACCATACAATAACAAAAGGTACTTGGACTTCTGGAATATCGTACATTGGTGTCTAGTTGTCAAGCAAATTCAATAGTAATCAATGGGACAAGGTGTCTCCCCACTGAATCTTGAGTCTGCAGGATTAGGCGGTGGCTACAGTGTAATGTAAGAATGTCACCTCGCCTTTTTATTGAGTAAACTTGCTCGCTTACATCTACAGCAGAAAGCTGGTATTGATTTTTCTCCTTAACTATTTTAAGTGTACATGCAATTTAACCCACTTTAGTTACAATGAGTGAAGTAAATTTAGCCCAGTCTAAATGATCTGGAGTTTTCTTGTCAATAAAGTCTTGTTTTCATCTCAGTTTATAAAAGGAAAGTAAAGGGCATGCACTTGACTGTTGATACCTTATTGAATGAATAATAAAGTTAACCCAGAACTTATCCCTGCCCACCCATTTGTATGTTCTCGCCTCTCATTTTCCTTGCTTTTCCTTCCTGCTGCAGTGATATTTGGGCCCTAGGGTGTGTTCTGTATGAAATGTGCACTCTTAAGCATGCAGTAAGTATTCTGTGTGAGCTGTTTAATTATTATTATACAGAATTTTAAGGTGTTTTATGCAGCATTTACTGTTCTCTCACATACTAATTTTGATCTCTTCCCTGTATATTCTATATGTATAACTGTAGTTAGATAATGTACTGTTAGATAATACACTGAAATTAATTTCCAGTATATTAATTCCTAATTAAATCTGTAATCCACATTAAGAATCCCTATATAGTTCAATTGTCTTCAGTAATTTCTATGCAGTGGTTACAGCCTTTGCATTTGTTTATTCTCAGTTTGAGGCTGGCAACATGAAGAACTTGGTTCTTAAGATAATTCGCGGGTCGTACCCTCCTGTGTCTTGTCACTACTCCCAAGAACTGCGATCTCTCCTTGCACAGCTGTTTAAACGCGACCCTCGAGAGCGACCCTCAGTCAACAGAATACTGGACAAACCTTTCCTCTCCTGCAGGATTGAGAAGTTTCTCACACCACAGGTAGACTCTGCAGCTGATTGTTAATTCTTTGGGGGGTTTTTTGTTTGTTTGGGGTTTTGTTTTGTTTTTTTGCAAAAAGTAGATTGCTCACTAAATTTCTTACTCATTTCAGATCATTGCTCAGGAATTTCGCCATACTTTTCTTCACAAGCAGCCTAAATCGGGTGTGGCACAGGTGCCATCAGGTGAGCAAACTCATCATGAAGAAGACTACAAGGGGTCTGTCTTCTACAGCTTGTTTGTAGATTCTAGAACTAATCAGCCACCAAGTCAGGCACATATTCATGGCATTATAGAGGACCTCGACACCTTAAATCAAAACTGATAAATGAAGGATGCTGGACTTTTGCATCTTTTGTACAATAATCTGCTCATTTCTTTTTGATTTTTTATTATGATGTGAAAATACACTGTTTATTTTGTGTGTGTGTGTGTGCACATTGGCTGACTAAAATACAAATTTTGTTAGTTTTTGAGTTTTTCTTCTAAAATTACTTCTGGATATCTCATAATATCAGCCTCAGCCCAGAAGATTACAAAACCAGCCGCCAAATACGGAGTGCCTTTAACTGTGAGGAAGGTCCCAGATGGAGCCAGAAAGCCTGCAGACAAGAAACCAGCTGGAAAACACAAACCGGTTAGTAGGCTGTTATTGTTGATGACAAGCTGGTATGACCGATCTTTAGTCATGACGTTTGTTTTGTTTTTGGGGGGGGACGGGTTTGCCTTCTTATGCCAGAAGCTGTATTTGTTGTCAATGCTTCTTCCATTTGTGTGTGTGTGAGTAAGTGTGTATTGGTACATCATGTTATGTTGGCTACCTCTGAAGCCCAGTGTCATATGTTGCTCAGGCCCTTCTCCCAGCAACCCCCCAGAGAAGAGTGAGTCAAGTGGAAGAAGAGAGGAAAAAACACGAGGTACACTGAGAGCGCCATATTATATTCTCTAATAGGCTCCCTTTTTTTTTCCTTTTTCTTTTCTTTTTTTTTTTCTCTCGCCATTCACTTACACGTGAAGGTCCCTTCTTATTAGCATTTTCAATTTTGCTCCCTCTCATTGCGCTTGCTCTCCATCTTCACCTGTTGTCCGCTCCCGGCCCATTCGGAGTGCTCTGCCTGATATAGCTTTCTCTTTTAACCAAACTTTTCCTCCTCGCCCACCTGACCTCTGACAGAGCAGTCCTGCTGGCTCTTTCCCTTGAGGCGGGTTTCTTTAAGATGTCTATTTTGGGGTTTGAATGGTTTTGTCTCATTCTGTAGGATGGCATCAGAAAGAAGAGGATGGACATGATCGAGAAAGAAAGGAAACAGAGAGAGCAGGTGAGCATACTGTTTAGTTTCTATATCTCCATGCAAAAAGTTTTTATACCTTTCAAACTAAAGTCTTTCTTTCTTTCAGATGTTCATGTTAAAAGCGGAGCAGATGAAGAGATATGAAAAGGAAAAGGTGGGTGATTAACTGAGCTTGGGTGTGTGGTTTTTATTTATTTTTTATTTCATTAGTGAAGGAAAGGGGATCCTTTTTAGGACAAAGTTAAAAAAAAAAAAAAGTATTAAATATAAATTTTAATCAAGTAAAATTCTTACAAAAAGTCTATTAATTCAGTTTAGTTTCACTCTATATTCGTCCCATGGCCTAGAACACAGTTTTAGAACACTGAATGTATAGAAATTTATGGCTATGGCCACCATGACCCTAACTTTTTGTGTACTATAGTTTTAAGCTTCCTAAATGTTGGCAACATTTTTATATGAAGGAAATGATAAACTAACACATGAGTTGTCAAAGCACAGCCTGCAGGTCAGTGGCAGCAGTAGAGGGGGGGATTTAGTCTGGATATTTTCTTTATCTTCTGCTAGGTGATTGATCTGAGCTCCACAGTGCATTCGTAGTTCACACACTCTGTACAGCTAAACCTAAATCTAAACCTTTGATCTCTTACAGATCAATCGAATAAACCAAGCAAGAGAACAAGGCTGGAAGCATGTCTTGAGTTCTAGTGGAGGTAGCAGCCCAGAGAGAAAGGTAATGTATATTTTTTTCGTTTTTGTCATATAAAGAGTTATGTCAGGATGCCCTCAGCGAGGGTTGCGACATTGTTTTGTTCTCCGTACTCAGTGTTTTGTAGGAGGTGGAAAGAGAGGTGCACATGTTGCTGCTGTTCAGGGTTCTACTCTAGCTCCTCTCCCTGGTAAAAGCCCTTATGAACACTACCATGCAATCCTCGACCAAATGGCTAAACCGACGCCTAAAGATGTCAGCAGGGAGAGCTCCTCAGCTGGACCTTGCAGTCCCATTCGGTAAGGTTATTTTATTTATTTATTTTTGGCTGTTTATGTGTGTTAAGTAGTATTTGTAATGACATTGCCTATTTATGTACTGACTAGTGTACCAGCTGCTGCAGGCACAGTGCTTCCTAACAGCCCTGCTCGACGACTAGACCCTGACGTAATCAAGAGAGAACTCCACAGGCTGCAGCATGTTTCCAAACAAGCCCATATTAGCAGGTCAGCTAGTCACATAGCTGTGTTGTTGTTGTTCTCAACGGTGTAAAAGTTGAGTACGAATATTTATTACTGTGTTCTTTTCACAGGCAGCGCGGTCAAATGGCAGTTGGGCGAGCCTTTCAAGTTGAGGAGTTTTTGCAGCGGAGGAGGGAAGCTATGCTCAACAAAGCCCGTGCTGAAGGACAGCTGGTACATATTATAACTACTAATAAGTATATAGCCCTCATCATGAAAATACTGCATGATAACCTGTTACTATACTGGTGAAATTTATATGAACAGAAATAAAAACTGATATTGATATTTAGTAAGAAGCGTTGTCAATCTAACAGCTTAATTAAGCTCTATTTCCGGTCTCAATATTGAATCAATTATAGACCTGTGACTGCAAATCACACTGAGAATCAAACGACTGCCTGCGAATGTTTTTATCCTTTTCTATTATTTTTGTCTTACACATAATCTTGTGGCAGCTAGCTGTTAGGGCCCGTGTCCTAAAGTGTGGTTAAATTAAATGGTAAACAGGGTACTCGGCAAAACCTGGCAGCAATCTATGGAGGCCGGGCTGGTGGTGTTCGGTGCAGGAGGTCTAAAGCCAACAAAGAGGAGGAGGTAGGAGGCCAAGGCCTGAACGCCCAGCCTCACACTTCACCTTACTCACAGCACGTCTGGCTTGGCACGTTTCACACGTCTGCACAAAGCTCCCTTTGACCCGCCCACAGTTCAACCCAGCAGCTCAAACTCATTGCCACTCCTTGTGCAATGTGTGGTGTTCCATTATCCCAGTTATGGCTGCTGTCTCATTTCAAATAACCACCCGAGTTTTGAGTTTGGTCATAAATGTTTTGCTCTGAATGGAATACATCTTCATTGCTGATTGTAAATTTGTGTTGTCTTTTGTTTTGTTTTTTGTTATTTTATCTAAATGGCTGATGCCTTTGTGTATAACATTTTTTTTTTTTTTTTATGTACAAGTCCCAACAAAGCATGTTTTGTTTTTTGTATGTCTGCTAATATCAGTACTGTACTCTCTGCTTTGTGTGTGTTCATTCAGTATGTAACATTTCTGTATTTGTTCTCAGGAGTACTTGGCAAGGCTCAGACAGATCCGCTTGCAGAACTTCAATGAGCGCCAGCAGATCAAAGCTCGACTCAGAGGAGAGAAGGTACATTATTCCACCTCTTCACAGGTTGCCAATAATGAAGGTGGTTTTCAGTTTTTGCTGACATTTTTGTCTCCTGGGTGTTGATGTTGCTTCCTGTGTATTTCAGTATGATAGCGATGGTTCTGACAGCCAGGAGTCCAGTGAGGAGGCCGAGCTCAGGAGAAAGAAGATAGAGGCTTTAAAAGTGAGTCTAGAAGAAGCAAAAAACAATTGCATTTTCCAATATCCGATGTTTATTTGATAACCTTATTTGCAGAGACATTAACAATGATTAAAATGACAGCAAGAGGAAGATGATGTAATCCTCTTCCTTTTCTGCTTTGCCTGTAACTTGTTGCTATAAAGAGGCTTCAAAAGTCATGGCTGTCGTTTTGTCATCAGAGAAGACATTGGATTTTGTACAGCCCTATTTTTAGTAATCATATTTTGATCATTGCTACAGCCCCTAAAATCCACGGCTCAGAGTAACCAAACACGTGAGATTTCACAAAACTTCCACAGATCAAAACATGCTTTATTAAGCAAAAATAGTGACTAACCCTAAACCTCGAAACAACCACCCAGTGAGTCACCGGTATCAATGTTTTCTCCTAAACTAATGTTTAGAAACAAAACTACTTCAAGCAAAATATGAAAATGGGACCATCGGTAATTCCCAAGTCAACTTATAATAAACAAAACTGCAAAAGACAAAGGTCTGTATTGGTGGAGGAGAGATGACCCTCTCGATTAGTGGGCATGCAGTTTAGCCTTCCTAGCCAATTGTAACTGGAGGAAAAAGGGAGGAGAGAGGTTAATATAATAAAAATAATAATAGACAGAAATAATGTGTAACATATATCAAAGCGTGTCATTGTTTTGTTCCGTTTTGCAGGCACAAGCTAATGCCCGTGCAGCTCTTCTGAAAGAGCAGCTAGAGAAGAAGAGGAGAGAAGCATATGAGAGAGAGAAAAGGGCATGGGAGGACCATGTAAGCATTTGTTTTTGGTTCATCCCTGTCTTGTCTTAGTGTGACCTTACTGGTGCATTAGTTAAAGTGTAAGCTAACTTTGCATATTGACTGTTATGGAAGCTTGCAGCACGAGGGGTCAAAGGTGGCATGGCGGGAGCAAATATAGTGGCCTCAGAAGCAGTATCGTCTACCTCTGATAGTCCTCTTCCACAGCCAGGCCCCTCTCAGCCAGAACCAGCTGCCAAAACTCCAGCCCTGCCTACACCCAAACCCTCCACCCCAGCTATATCCATGACTGCTGCCCTAAAGAACGTTGGAGCAGTCAGTATATAATTTATGTATAACACTATCTCTCACAGTACTTTGGGATATTTATCTATTAGCTACATGAATTTGGCTTTTTTTTTTTTTTTTAACAGATGACACCACTAAAGGAGAGCTTGCCTGAACCAGAGTCTGCAACCATGATCCAGGTGAGGTGATTAGTTGTGAAAATTTATGAAATCAAATAACAACGCCATTCATTCTAATGAAAAAAAATACTGTTGTGCAATCACTTCTGTGTAACAGAGTGAGAAGAAGCAGATTCTGCGCAGACTTAACCAGAACCTTAAAGCTCAAAGCCCAGTGGAGGAGTCTCCTTCGGCCCCAGCAGAATCAAGTCCTGCTCCAACCCAAAACCAGTCTGATACAGACAAGCGCCCCTCTTCCAATGAAGACCGGAAGAAGTGGGAAGCAGCAGAGCTACCTGTACTTCCCGTGGCTCAGCAAACTTTAGAGGAAACGTGTGCCACAGCAAGCAGTGAGTTGAGTCTAACTAGAGATTGATTAAGAGGATTACAGTATGTTTTGTTTTGTTTTGTTTTTTTTGTGGTGTGCCATGCCCTGACAAACAGAGAGAAGTCTCACAACTTGCAGCGAACTTCATAAAACGACTGGGCGGTTTTTTGAAAGCGCCGATTTGGACATAGGGTAACTGAGCCAAAGCTTAAAAACTGCATGTATAGAATCACCAGTCAAATGTGATTAACAGCCAAAAAAAGGTTTGTTTTCCTCCCAAAAATAAAGTTTATAAAACTCTTTACCCACAAACGTTTAATACACATATACAAACTCTAAAGCTTCATTAAAGGCTCAGTCTTCTTAAAAAAAGCAGTAAATGCACATAGTTGAAAATGTGGTGGACATCTGACCACCATCTGTCGTCTTTGCTATTTAGTGAGTGTTTATCATTTCATCTTTTAAATTTTAACCAAATAAAACAAATATTCATACAGGCCTTTTTAGCCTGTATGAATAAGCGTTAACACCTGTCTGAAACCATGATGTCAAGCTAGAAATCGTGGCATAAACAGACTCTGACCTAAATTTTGACAGAAGCATTACGCAAGTTACAGTTGGCCTACAACCACATTTAAAATCAAAATAAAGGATTTCTGTCTAAAGCAGGTTAGATTACTATAACAATGACTTCATAAGTCAAAAATTCAATGAGACAGCTGCAGCTCATGAAACATGCTAACGCTAAAAAAATTGGATTACTTTAAAATCCTTGTACTGCTTTACAAAGCACCAAATGGCCCTACTTAGATTTCTCATTTATTCATACTTCATGAAACATCCAGACTTTTAAGGCAATTAGGACCAGGTGTTCTCTCTATTACTGGAATCACAACAAAATAACAAATGCAGCTTTCAGTGTTTCAGCTCCTCAGTTCTAGAGCAAATGTCTTGAACACTTGATGTCAGCTAAAACTGCTGCTCCATTTAAGTCATTGCTAAACTTTACTGTTTGAGGGGCCTACCAATAAAATCACACCTGTGACCTCCTAACCTTTGATTTGCTTTAATCTCATCTTTTGTTTGTTTGAGATTATGCTCCTTGCTACATTTCCCATTATCATCATGTTGTGTTTTTCATATAGTTTATTTCTGCAAAGAAGTGCCTTGTATCTAAACAGATCAACTGAAATATATTTGTTTTGACATTATTCTTCAGTTGATTTCTATTCAGGATCTGTTGGTTTCTCTACTAAAGGGCAGGTTTGCCAAATTTCCCCTTCTGTTATCTCATTAGCCACTTCAGCATCTCCAGATGGTAGGCCGTCCTCTGGTGGTGACAGGAAGAAGTGGGAGGCAGGAGTTCCACTTGTCCTCTCTGCAGCTCAGCAAACTCTAGAGGATACATCCCTCATGACCATTGGTAAGTCCTTTCCCGCTGAGTCAGAACAAGCGCACAGCTTTCCATATAACTGCTCTCTGAGTATTACACTCTCTCTCTCTGTCTCTCTCTATTTCTGTTTTTGGTTTGTTTGTTGTTTTGTTTTTTTGTCTCAGAGCAAACAGCGGGCGAAGTTATACAGATGGCTGTGCTACAGGAAGATGCTCCCAGGAAGATGTGGGGAGCAAGTCCAGACTCTCAGGTGCTGAAGGTACTTAAGGAGGCAGAACTTCAGCCACTCACCCAGCCACTGGAGACTCTCACCATATGTGAGGACGAGTCTTCTAGTCCTGGTTAGTCTTACTTACAGTTTCTCACCTCATGATGATTTTTTTTTATGTGAGTGTCAACATGAAACAAATTCAGTTAGCTTCTGGGCTAATGTCTTGTCTTTGGGATTTGTTTTCTCTCCTGACTCAGAGTTAATGTGATCACAGGAACAGCAACAGCAACATGTTACACTATTAAAAGGCATGGGTTTTTTTGTTTAAAATTTCTGACAATTTGACTAAATTAGGCCAAAACCTTTGCTTGGTACTGCAGGAATAGTTTTGATGTGAAATTTAGAGAATATTTCCCTGTATTTGTCCCAAAGTTGCAGATTTATTTATTTATTTATTTATTTATTTATTTATGAGAAACTACATAAATAGTGAGTTAAGGTAGAAAAGTACTGCAAGAGCATGTCTGAATTTACTTCAACACATAGAGAGATGAAGAATCCTTTAATGTTTACATTTTTCTTATTTGGTGCTGCTTTAAATAATATGCGCTTGTCATGTACTATTATTATTGTCTCTTGGTTTCTTTCAGTTAAATTAAACCAGATGACAGCAGAAGCTGGCATTGTGAAGATACCTAAAGAAGTGTTACCCCCTGTAGTGGCTGAGAGTCCTGCAGCTACAGATGTGGCCTCACATCAAGAAATCTCCATGGCTGCTGCAATAGAGAGCCCAACACTGCCAACCAGCGTTACTGAGACTCAGGGTTAGTACCTGATATTGATCCAATCTTTTGCTGTTTATTTACATTTTTATTTTTGTTGTTTTTCCCAGCTAAGTCCAGTGATGCTTAAATTCCTTTAGATCCAGCAGACTTGGAGTCGGTGTTTTTAGAGGAAACCCCTAAACAGGCCTCACGTCCTCCAAACAGTGTGCAGCAGGCTTGGGAGCAGGAAGGCCAACAGCAAATGTGAGTGTTAAATGAAATCAAAAAAAAATATTTTTCATACCAAAATGAAAATTGAGCTTTTATTATTATGATTTAAAACTCCTTTAAATAAATAAATGTACAAAGGCAACATGCATGTCTGTGAAGCTAAGCTGGATTTCTTCTACAGGCCAGCAGAGGGCGATATAAGACCAACAGATAACAAAGAGGCTGAGCAGAGTGCAGACAAAGTTCCTGAGCCATCAGGTGAGATCAATGTGTAGTGAGCCAAGATGACTTTTTTCAGGGTAATTGTTATCTTAATTAAACCTGCCCCCATTTTTCCTCTCTACTGGTTTAGCTCAGCATGAGGAGCCCCTATTTATGAAACTGTGTTCCCCGGCCCACCGACGCACTGCCGCCCTCGCTATCCTTTCAGCCCAGTCCTCCATGGATGAATCATCCTCCTCTCTGGCCTCTCGCTCACGCTCTGTCTCACCTCTACGCTCCAAACACCAGAATGCACTTCTCATTGGTCTTTCTACAGGCATGTTTGATGCCAACAACCCCAAGGTGATTACTGGCAGAATATTACACTTTTTTGTGTGTGTGCGGACATTGTGTTACATAATAAAAGGAAGTTCTAAAGTTAATTCTCTTAAGTATTAAACCCAGGACATTGTTAGCTGTGATCAGGTGTTTCAGGACATTTATCTCTTCTCCCTGGTGTGATGTAGAGGCTTGTGCAGTATTTTGGGTAGGATTTTAGTCTTCTTTATTAATGAGAAGGCTGAAATGAATCCATTAATCTCCCAGTCTGAACCTGCGCTGAGTCTTATATTATAGGACGAGCATCCATCAACCATTATCTTTCACGACCTTCATCAGGGACAATGGGATCTGCAGAGCTCAACATTTTTAATATGCATATAAAAAATGGCTACATAGAATAGGATCTTGTCACAGAGTCATGTCCTATTCTGGCCCCTGCTTTGCATATTAAGCCCTTGTTTATTGTGTCATATGAATTCCACTTGCAGTTGTGTTAGTCAAACACTCAAAATATTCTGTCACTGTGTTTGGTTTGTGCCCGCAGATGCTGCGGACATGCTCTCTACCAGACCTGAGTCGACTCTTCAGCTCTCAGCAGGACGTTACAGTGACTGGCGAGGCTAACGTTGCTCCAGACAACAACCTGGAAATTGAGGACCTGGATGAGGCAGGAAAAGATGATGACCAGTCTGAGACAGAGGAGTAAGAAAAGCATGAAATCTAAAAACATCCTAAGACATTTTCTGGCCCAGCTGTTCATGATCATGAGTAGTATTTTTAAGACAAAGTTAGGTTAGGTTCTAATTTTTCCATAGGCATAATCAGAAATAACGACCTGTGTCTGTAAACTATATAAAGACAGGTAGTTGTTACAATGACAACTATTGCAAGCAGCTTTATATTTAAGGTAATGACCCTACAATATTAGAGGGGAAACTATTGTTTTCTAAGAAACCTTGTTCTGTTTCTTAGTGCTTATGAAGATGAAGATCTGCGTGACATCAGGGCATCCATGGAGAGACTGCTGCAAGAGGAGGTTGGAGCTGGTGACTTTAATGGAAACCCTTCTGAGAGCGGAGACCAGGAGCTTTTCAACAGGATCGCAGCTGAAATCGATCAGGACAACAATCAGATGGCGGTAGATGATGATGATGACGATGAAGATGAGGATGAAGAAGAGGAAGATGATGAAGGAGATGAGGAGGAAGAGGAGGAGGAGGAGGAATGCTCAAATGGAAGTCCTGCTGATGAGGAGGCAGGGGAATTGCTTACCAATGGTGTGGGAGAGGAGAACCACAGTAATAACAGGCAGCTCAATGAAGAATGGCATTCGGGTAAGGACAGAACATCACAGAGACTCAGACGTTTCGGTCTGTTTTACTCAGGTTGCTTTAAAACATTACCCAACTCTAGTTTTTACATTTAGCTTGTTTTATGTTTGAAACTGCTTAAGACCTTAAATATAATCTTTAATTAATATTCTATATTCCTTCAGCACCTTCATAGTTTTCAAGACCAAAAGTTTGAGATTTTTATGTGAAGTGATTGGTTCTGCTCCACAACAGATGGCAGCGGAGAGGAGCAGGGCGGAGAGATGGAGCATCATGACAGCATCTTCAGCCGTCTGGAAGAGCTTCGGTTCAAACTGGAGCAGCAGATGGGTTTTGAGAAGTTCATTGAGGCCTACAATAAGATTAAGGTATGAAATATTCATTATTTCTCTTTGAAATCTGGAGTTTGTTCGTATAACTTCACAGTTAAAGTGACAATACAAGCCAAAATCAAATTTACATTTTTTTTTCCTCTGGACCGCTGTGCTGTATCTGGAGTGTTTTTAGCATGAGGTGCCCAGTTTTGGAGATTTCAGCTGTAGAGATGTCTGCTTTAATACTGCCGCTCAGCTTATAGGGGATGTCATTAAGGCTTGTATCTTTTTGCATAGTGATGCTGTTGGCATGTGTAGTTCTTTAGAAGGAAAATGGCTTGTGAGTGAAACCGCTTAGAGCAAGATTTGAAGATTATGTTTATGACAAAGTGCATCTTCTCCAGTGTGGACAGCCGACTAAGCAGCTACTTTTGTGGGGAGTTGGGGGAGGTGCGTATATTACATATTCTCTAGCATGTCCTGGTCTGCCCATGGTCTCCCAATGTGAAAAACACCTCACCTAAGAGGAGCGAGATGCTCAAACCTTTGCAGCAGACTCATTTTGGCTCTACTTTTCCTGCATCCAAGTGAAAGACCAGACATAGTCTCCCTCCATGAATTGTCACGTTCTCATTTTGCATGACTGAGTGATCCAAGGAGCTTTGTTGTTGGGAGAAATTTGCCCCAATAATATAACTATAGAACATAGCTGGTAGTGTCTCCCAAGGAAAAATTGGAAAAATGTATGGCCACAATAAGTAGTATTCAAAAATGACATGATTCAAGAAACCTCATCTAAATCAGGGGCTTTGAGGCCCCACCCTGGAGCCAGTCAAGGGGAATCTCAGACTCTATGGGATAAGGTTCAGCCCAAGTGATCTGCATGGGCCCACTGGAGGAACCATTGGTGTCTTATTGTTGGATTGGACTGCAGTCAAGGGTGGTGGTTCAGTCTCTCTCTGCATTAACTGATTCTCCAAAATAATGCAGTCATATGTAAAACATATACATCTGTGCTGTCCTTTTTAAGCATTACATCACAAGATTGATTGAAGAGACTTGTTGTTTTGATGCTCAAGGCCATACATGAAGATGAGGATGAGAATATTGACCTGGGCTCCAGTTTGGTCCTAAGCATTCTGGGAACTGAGCACCAGCATCTGTATCCCAACATCCTTCATCTAGTGATGGCAGATGGCGCTTATCAAGAAGGTGAGTGACAGTTTTATCATATTATCTTTTTCAGTGTCTCTGATTTAAATAAATAACATTTAAAATGATAGTCTTTAATGTTTTTACATGACACACAATAAAAGAGTTCAAATTAGTTTTTCACTTGGACCTGGTTCATTTTATTTATTTATTTTATTTATAATTTTTAATTTTCACACCGTTTTCCTTCTGAGCCACAAACATCCGAGCAGGTTTCTTTTCATTGTTCTAGTCAGCGACAGCATCGGCGTCATGTCAAAATTCTGTCCTCTTTTCTCACGTTGTTGCTCAGTCTCTTCACCAAGTCGTGAAGAGACTGAGCAGATGTGAAAGACACCCTTAACTCTGTTTTCTTTGTCGTGCTATGTGCTGAGCGTGTCATCGGACTTGGGGGGCCACAGCAGAAATAGAAAGCAGTTAATCCCTCAGGATGGGAGCAGGCTTCAGATATATTTTCTAATTGAACATCTTTGTTTGATAGTTCGTTCGTTTTCTATTTTTACTGTCTTCTGAAGTAGAGATGGATGATGCAAATGTCAGATATCTCCCCTGAGGGCTCGTCTTAAGATCTGTTATCTTATGGCTTACATCCACGCAGTGGTGGATATAATTATATATTTTTGAAGCAGCAATCACAGAGCAAACTGTTGTAAGGCAGCATAGTCTATTAATTGTGCCAAAATCTCAAATTCTTCTTTTTTTTCCCTCCCTTTGGCTCTTCTTCTTGCCAAAAAGGGCAAATATTCTTACTATTGTCATCTCATACTGCATTTCAAACTTTGGGAGGGGCAGCATATAAAAACAATAAAAAAAGAGAAGCTTGATAAGCTTGTTTTAGACATTAGATAAACTGATGAGCTGCAACAGATCCAAATATGAGACCAGTACAGATTGGCAGATGGCTGTCAGTGACCTGGTGAGGTTAAATGTTTGGTTCTGTTGTTCATTATAACAATGCTGTCATTGTCTCTCGCCTCCTCTGTCGTTTACTTTTAGGAGTAATGGTCCAACTGCTTTGTTGAATTGTCGTGATTTTCTTTGTTGTCTTTCTTTTAGATAACGATGAGTAATGTTTTGTGCAATGGAGCTGCTGGCGGCTTTGACAATCTGCTAGCAATCTGATGTCTTCCTGTGACACACGCGATCGGCAGAAGGATCTATGCATGAAGTGTCCCAGCCTCACATCTAACAGTGTTTCAGGCACACTTGCATGATGTATAACTAAAACACTCAAGACTGTACTTCATACTTTGACTATCAGCACCTGACACTCTTTTCTAACCAGTGTTCTTTCAAAAGTGCATTATGGAAAAAGACATGTGTTGTTGTTAACCAAAGTTTACTGCAAAATCAAGTAAATGTTTCGTCCACATCTGTGAGTGAAAGACGCACATGGGTTGTCACGATTAAAAGCATAGACTTTGTTGTGTTTAACATTGTTGTTGGTTCAGTTGGACTCTTTGGTGGGTGAAGATCTGGTCCTCTCAGGTGCTCTCTTTCTGTCCCATCCTCTACCACAGCTTCAGAACTTTAACCAGGTCAGGATTTTTTTTCAAAACCAGTTCAGCCTCTTTTTCTTGTGATTGTTGTCACCAAATAAGAAGTTAAATAATATCTAAGGCATTTTCCATGTTTCGTACTGCTTCGATTAAATTAAGCAAAGTGAAACATTTTTGTGAGTGAGACTGTTGTATATGTTGCCAAGGAACTGTAGCAAGACTGTGGTTGGTGTGACAGGTGGAGCAGGTCAGAGTTGTACTGATGATATAACTTGTCATATCGACGCTAACAGTAAATCATGTTTGTTTCTAAATTTAAATACTGCAGAACTTTATATGAAATAAAAACCTTTTTTAAAGAAGTTGAAGAGTTATTCTATTTTTTCACACAAAGTTTAAAGGGTTTAGACAGCAGACATCAAGGCTTGTGATTTAACTGCCTTACAATTTATTTTTTTATTTTAAAGGTTGTTTTAAAGCATTAACGAATTAATTTTTGAAATCTGGTAAAAATGACTTCTTCAAAATTTGGTGACGTATTTGACCACAAGGTGGCAGCATTTTAGCAAAAGGTTCCACCCAACCAACAAAGATTAGATTCTTTGTTAGAAATTATCTATTGCTACCCCCAAAAGACAACTTTTAATTCATGCTTTCCACAAACTAAGTTGGCTAATTATGCCTATAAAATGCTACATGACCTCATTTTAACTTCAGTTGTTATCTCTGCTACAAAATACACATCTTGGATGTAACATCATAGCTTTTGTTTCTTTATATTTTGTTAGTAGTTTTAATTAATTGAAACTGCTGTAAAAAGCTTTCAAAATATTCCTAAAGGCAGTTTTTGTAATTATGTTGTGCAGGTAGGCCTTTGCCTTTTGCCAGGTTACAGTTGTATATAAGAATGACTGACTCACTGCACCATCTCCTGGTACAGATTGGTATTACATGAAAGTACAGCCTGGCCCTGGCTTCACTTAAGTTAGTTTCTCTTCAGTGCAGTACATGGATGTTTTTTGAGACTTAGTACATTTAGGTTTTAAACAAATCAGTGTACAACAAGTAACTCACAGCCCCCAACATTTTACATTATTTTTTAAATTTAATGTGTGTTTATTTATTTCTTCCTAAAACAATCTTTAGATTAGAAATGTGGTTGTGGAAAGAGAATCATTCTACTTTTCACAGGTTATTGGATGACTGTGCCACTGGTGAGGACACGAGGCTATTTTCAGCTACAGCTGGTTTCAACGGACCACTAACCCTTCCTGTCAGCTAGCAAGATTTATTTGAAGTCATGATCCCTGTGGAATAATATAACACGAGGCAGTGTTCTAAGACCACATCTCATTTACCATGACAGGAGACTTCGGTATGTGTCCTACAGTATGGGTTGGAGTATACTTGAGTAGCTGACCTACAGTGCCATCCTTTCATTAAGAAAAAAATGGTCTCATACGATTTCCCCAGTAGTTCTAGGTCCCTCTGATTTTATTTGTCTGTAGTTAACATATCTCAGGTTTGAACTCATCAGGACAAAGCAATGAATTATATTTTGATTAGTGCCACTAGTATTGAAGTAAAAGTCAGCCTGGTGATTAGGCCAGAAACTGAGCTGAGAATCTTTACATCTCTACAAGATGTTGCTTTTATAAATTAAATTTTTCCTAGCCGGTGATGAAGGCCTGAACACTGATTTCTGACACCAGCCCTAACATAAATATGACACTACTTAAACTGCAATATGTCATTGCCCTGCATATGTTTCAAAGCTGAGGCGTGCAAAGAGGGTTACACATTGGATTTCATATCAAATAATACACAGATATCCAGTGGATTAAATTCTCTTTACATGCATTTATTCCTTTTTTATTTTGCTTTTTTTTTTAGCTGAAATTAATCTGAAGTTTGAGTCTTTGCACATAAATACATGCACTTATATGTGGGTTTAAGCCTCTAAATATATTTAGACCTTTAGTCAAGGGCCCGACAGGAGCAGCTCTTAACGCCCTTAAATGCCTTCATTCACTATTTATACTGCTCGGTGTCATTGTGCTTGTTTGTTGTTCCATATCTGATTTAGTTATTCTGTTTTAACTCCCACCATGTGGCTTGTATTATGCATGGGTGGTTGTTTTATCTCTGTAGTGATTAGCATTTTTACTTGTTAAGAGGGACATATATAGTACATGAAGGCAAGCAACTGTCAGTATAATCAGAGCATGAGGGACTTTGAAGCAGCACTTATGGCTTTCTTTTAGATATAAGCGCATTATAGGCTCAGTGTGGAGTCTTGGTACAGCAAATCTAATTTTAGGTCTTGCAAACATAGAATTGTCAGAAAGTCACTTAAAAGTTTTGCCTTTATCTCTTCAGGTTTGTGGTTATGAGGTCTGTTAAGTATCACAGCTGCAGTAAAATGTATGGTGCCCCAGTGATGGCAAAATGCAACATCCAATTTCTTTATTGCAAAATTGAATTTGGGGTTGCAGGGATGGCGGGTGTGGGAGCCATCCAAGCTGTTATAGTGCAAAAGGCTGGTACACCCTGGACAGGTCATAGCTCGCCATAGGGTGAATCCAAAGACAGACAATCATTCACGCTCAGATTCACACCTGCAGACGATTTAGAACCAGTTAACCTAAAATGAACCATCCATCCATTCTCTTCCACTTATCCTTAAGAGGGTCACAGAGGTGCTGGACCTTATCCCAGCCACCGTGGAGCGAAATGCGGGGTACAAGCTAGACAAGTCACCAAGCTGACGCAGGGCTAACACAGAGAGACAGACAACCTTTCGCGCTTATGGACAATTTAGAGTTACCAGTTAACCTAACCCTACTAAGCACATGTCTTTGGACTGTGGGAGAGAGCCAGAGAACCTAGAGAGAATCCAAGGAAAACTCCACTCAGAATTCCCCAGCCAGCTGGTGGGTTCAAAGCCACAACTTTCTTGCTATGAGGCGACAGTACTGACCACACCACTGGGCCACCCACAGAAGAAAAAAAAACACATTTCAGGAAATACAACATAACAGAAAACACCACAAAACTACCCAAAACACAGAAAACAACTGAAACATAACAGAAAAACACAATGTTACAAAAACCTCATCAAAACAGAGAACATAAAATTTCAGAAAGCGGAACAAAAGCAAGGAAACATAATAAAATTGTGTTTTCTGAAACCTTATTGCATTTTTATTGTGTTTTCAGAGGGTTTTGTTTGTCTAAATGAGGTTCTGTTTGAGGCGTTTTGTATTTGTAATTTCACAATGATGTCAACTCCAAGGCACTCTCTTACAAATATCAGTACCTTCAGTGTCACCGTAAGGTCACATTTAGTCATGTTTAACCTGAACTGGTGGGTGGCACAGTGGTAACAGCTAACACTGTCATCACAGCATGAAGCCACCGGCTTGCTGGGGTTTTCTCTGTGGAATTTGCATCTTCTCCCTGTGTCTACAT